TTTGTATCACTCGCACAAATAAGTAAATCCGAGATGGGCACCATGCGCATTTTTAATCATTCCATGCTGATCAGCATACTGAATAACATATATTTACGGCACATATTTATTATCCGCTATTGAAATAACCATCTATGTGCATACACTATGCGCACGCATAATTGCATGTATGTATGAGCATCATGTGTATGGTGCCCATCTCCAGGTGAAATTAGTAAAAATAAGGGGTGGCAGTAGCAATACCCTAAAAAATTTATGTAATCCTAATCCTAATTACATAATCACAATTATGCAAAAATAAATTTTACTATGTAATCAATATTCTGCAAACGTAATCGTATACTGACACAAAAATGCACAATTCTAATCTCGTAAATAAGCAATCGCTCACTATCAATTAAATTCACAATATTTTTTTAAAAAAAAAAAATTTACAAACCTTCTCTCTGTATCCCTCCGCAACTCTCCTTAATTATCTCTAATTTCATCATGAGTTCTGACTCAAATATTGACCTCAGAGAAAATCCTGAATTTATTATTTTAGCACTATCTGGTTTAAGTTCCGGATTTATAAATTTCATTTGCTTGATTTACCTTATTGGTAGGCTGTTGACACGATGGTGGGTAACTAAGAACTCCTTGCCGATGGTTCATAGGGTGCCATTCTATATAGCAATGAGTGGTACGTCAATACATACTTCTCTATATTTAAATATGCTAAATATACTCGTGTAGATTTAGACCATTTAATTTGTTTTCAATTATCCAAATAAATTAGAATTTATGTTATTTTGCATCAATCTAGTGGATATGGTATGTATTACTTAATTGATAATAAGAATTCTATATGTTTAACTTATTTTCGGTATATAAGGGATACTCGACTACTCATGGTCATCTGATTCAAGGAGAAGGATGTAAAGTAGTTGGTGGAATAGCATTTTTCATTGTTTCGTATAATTTGACCTTAATTGGGTTATTTTCTTTGATGACTTACCTCCGAGTACGTAAAAAATACTTTATTGATATGGGAATATATGATTATAAATTATTTTTGATTATTTCGTTAATATCTTTATTCTTAACCCTGATTGGAGTTAAAGATTACGGTCCGAGTAAATTTTGGTATGTCATGTTCATATTAATTATGTTTTTGATGTTGTGCGAATAACAATACTTATATATATTACTTAATAGCTGCTATAAAGATACAACTGATCCAATACAGTCAACAATAACTGTTGCACTGTTTTTTTTAATATTATTAATTACGTTGTTTTGTTACATTATGACCTTATTGGAAGTGAATGCTCAAGATTATATGCAAAGATCTGGTTCTGATAATGCAACAATTAGTCGAATTGATCTTATTGTTGTGAAGAAAATTATAGGTTATGTTCTAATATTCCTTTTAAAATGGACTCCCAGTGTTATTTTTTTCATAACTCAAATGTTTCAAGTAAGTGTGAATGTATTATTATTTCTGTGCCATCCAAGCTACAATTGTTTGTAGCTGCCCGGTTACTGCTATTCATTTTTATTTATAACACTTCTTTACCGATTTTATTTTTTTTCTAGTATGAAAATATATGGATTTATACTGCAACGGTAATTTCTATAAATTTGGGTGGAATAGGAAATGTGATCCTATATGTTTCATATGAAAGTTGGAAAAATAGATATGACAATAGAAATATTTCCATTAAGAGTAACTCTGTGGAGTTAACGAAAGCAGTCAAGAATTACATCCTCAAATAACGCAAAAGCAATCAAGAACTACATCCTCGAATAACAGTTTATAATTTCATTACTGTTGAAAAAGAAAGTTGTACTTCTAGTTCATTAACATTTGCAGGTCACAACACAATGTAGCTTACATAGTGATAATAAGATTTTTATAATAAAACTAGGTATTAAAGCCCATCGTTGAACGATGGGCAAGAAATAAATATCGTATACAAATATGTTACGCAAGTTGTTTTATGAAGACTCGTCTATATGAAATTTTTAGAGCCTGAATTAAACATCGGCTCTTATCCGAGCATAAATAAAAGGGAAAATCATTCAGTCCAAAAGCATGTATAGTATAGAGCAATATAGTAGAAATAATTACGTATTAGTAGATCTTCCACACCCATATGCCACTTCATGTGACTCTTGCGTTACCAATTTTATTTAATAAGGTAACTGCGCAACGTAGTTGCGCTAAAACCAGGAGCGGATGTCCAGTAGGTTCTAATAATTTATAATTGATGAATTGTACTTATTGATCTAACTTATAAATTACAGTTATTTCATGAGATGCTAATGATCATGGTTTTTTATGGCCATAAATGTAATAAGCTCGAATTAAAACACAATCAACTCGAGTTAAAACTCAATCAACCGATAGCATAATCACATGCTATATTATAGATAACTGGATAATCTGATTTAATTATCAGAAATCAATATTTTGAATAATTATGTTTATTCAGATTATCCGGGTCGTTCAGATAAAAAGCACAATATCTAAATTTGGTTATATTTAATTTTATGTATTGATTTAATCGATATTTCAATCAGTTATTCAAAGAAAGTTAGTTTAATTTTTTTATACGGCTGACACCAAAGGCAAACCAGATTCCGTTTATATAAAATTTATACGATCGAAATTCAATTTTCTTTTCATGTTGACATAGGTTAATATAGTCTGCAAGTGCAAGTTGTAATGATTATTTATTAATTGATATCAATTTACTTATGATCTATTCATTTCTTCAAAATACAGTCAACCATCGTTAATATCAACCCATTTGAATTAAACAATTGTGTTGATATATACGAGGGTTAATAATAACAAGATAGTTTATATATAGCCTAAACTATAGTTGTGACCCGAAACCCGAAACTATATATAAATTCCCGAAATCAAAACCGAAACCTGAAACCTTTCCCGAAACTCAAACACTATACTGAAAAGCTTAAAAATTTAGATTTAAACTTTAAAACTTAAAGTATATGATAATTAGATTGTATTCCAAGAGTTTTTTAAGTTACTTTATAGCAAATGAGTATTAAATTTTAACATTCTAATTTGAAGGTTTCTAAAAGGTTTCGAGTTTCAGCCTAAGGGTGTTTTCAAACGCCTTCATCAATGGGTCAAAAAGTGTCGGTGAATAAATTTAACTTAGCAGAGAATATTTTAAAGGATAAAAAGTGTTTATCAACGTAATAAATATTTAAATAAACATGGCAGTTTAATAAAGTTTATTACGTAAATAATATATTTTTATTAGTAAAAACATAATACGTGAGTTTTTCATTTCAATTTACAAACATTTTGCCGCAGACCACCTTTTTTTCATATGTGGTTTGGCAAATTTTACAATCAATTGAGTATTGAAAGAGATCGCACAGTAACCTTATCATGCAACAACCGAATATTAACGAACTAAACGTAGTAACTAAACGTAGTTTTGACTGCTGCAGAAGATATTTGAACTGAAAATTTGTAGAATATAGAAAGATTAGAGTATATATTACACCTCTCTAAGGCAATCTGATAATATAAAAACCCTACTAGGTTATCTATAAAATTAGAGCACAAGTAGTATTGCATATGTTAATCTAAGTGGCCTTCAATTGAAGCAGTACAAGTAACTAAACGTAGTAACTAAACGTAGTGATAACTACATTTGATAAAATATTAAGAAATCACTCAAGTAACAATTGCAATTTTTATTTTGATTGATTATAGTTACATTTATTATTTAATAGCATAGAGAATAACGTTTGTGCAAAATTTGACTACTTTATAATTTACTTATTCGATTCGTTAACAAAAATTTTACATAAATATAATTGTAGTTGTGCACGATTACAATCACGAGCTAATCACATCGAGGTTGAGGCTTGAGAACACCCGTAGTCGCGCAGCTACCTAATTGACATGATAGGTATAATGGTTGTAATGTGTGTAAGGGTTATAATAGCAACAGTTGTAATGTTGTAACGAATGTAATTATATAAGGATCTGATTATGCTTGCACGACGCAATCGTGCTTGACAAATGTGATAACATGACGAGTTGAAATATTATTATCGAAGAACTTCAAATACAAAACGTCACTAATCAATAGATTCGGTTAATACAAATAATTCAGTGGATATGATATAGTTTTTGAGATCGCAAACATATAACGTTTTATCAGTAATTTTATCAGTTTATATTTTGATAATTTTTACGGTTAATCGAAGTGTTAAAATTATAAACAGTATAAACATATCACGTGGCTAGTTTATATTTTTATCAGATTTTGTCAGGGGCGTTGTCGGCATCACTAGTAGTGAGATACAGGTAAAGAAGAGAATAAAAAAGTAAAAGTAAAGGATATAACCCCACTACTCATTCTAAGAAATGTTTGGCAAGAGCTGTGTACATGACTTGCTTAGCGACCACGTCCGTATTGTATGAATAAGCTCCATGGTGAACAATAATAATTATGATAATGTAAATTAGCCAATCACAAATGTTTTTTATCTCAATGTGATCTGCCTTTATCTCTAAACTCCTAATAACAATGATTAGAACTACTTCGTCGGTAAAATGAGCTGTCGGTAAAATGAACTCGTATGGGCGGATTTTGTCGATTCTGATATTTATTAACGTTAAAAAATAGATGATAATTCATAAAATTTGATTCAAAAATTTGTGATTTTGCGAAATTGTCGTTATTAAATCTTAAATTGCTTATGAAATCGTTTTAGAAAACAAGCATTTTGTTTGTATTGGATTGGTTAATTGTATACTTGCTTATTAATATTTTGTTATAGTGACTCTGCGCAACATATTGTTATTATTCGGAGTGGTTATATAATTCTATTGTATCACTTAATTTGAATGATCACAATATTCCCATCAAAAATTTTCGTCCATACGTTGCCTGTGAATTAATTGTCGGTGTGAACTAAATCGTCACTGAAGTGATTGTCGATGAAATGAACAAAACCCAATAACACAGGATCTAGCATAAAATTTTTCAACTCATATCGATATTTATAAATATATCGACATACACTGTATTTATATGAAAATTTCATCACAGATTCGGAATACTTCTACCCTAGCAAAGCTAGCATCGCCCACAAAAAAATGTAGCTGACGTTATAAATTTATTATATAACACTCATTGCATGAATTATCATAATGCAAGTAAAATTTATTTAAAATTTTAAAAAAATAAATGAGTAAAAAAAAAGGAAAACAATTGGTGACTTGAAAAAGTGTCGTAATAAACAGAAAAGATCAAATACAACTCCAAGAAACCGAACACATATATTGAATCAACTATATTTGCTAAAAATATTTATCGTTGTCACTTTAGTTAAAAAATAAAATGATTTTAATGTTATTGTTATCACCAAAGTTTTAATTATGATGTAAGCTACATATTTTTGTGGGCGATGCTAAGTTTGCTTTCAACCCTCGTCTGTAAGTTAGATACCTTTATTTTCCAGTAATTAAATCTATAAAATATTTTTCAACTCTCTTCGAATCTTAAACTATATATTAATATATCTAGAGGTTAAACTCCAAATTTGTCGCTTTATATAACCTACTATAAGGAATACAAAGAAAATTATTATTTTATTTTATTATTAAAAAAATGTTGAATTGAATAAAGTTTATTAAATGAGTGTAACAAATTTTATCGCTATGAACCTAGGTCAAATTAGGCTAGTCTTCATGGACTAAGTTTCAAAACCAGGTTTTAGAACCTACTGTATCCTTAATGTTGACTTAGCAATCGACTAATATTATTTAACGTTAATGAAATATGCTTATTTATTTTAAGATATTAACGATGTGATTTTATTATTAGAATCGTTCGTTTGGTCGATCATTTGGCCCAGATAGATCGACACCGGCCAGCATTAAACTGATTTCGAAGTTAAAATTAGAGTTAGAAAATTTAGGATAGAGTTTATACACACGTACTGCATGTACCAAAATTATATGCAAGTTTATTGAATTTACAGTAACACAGTGCATCCATTTATGTACTCAACAAAAATTCCTTTTCGTTATTGAGATATTCAACCTTTTGATTTAACAATGACGGAAACCAAGACTCCTTCTTCTAATTCTCGAGATGACGTACTTCAGTTTCTTGAAACGCTTGATACGTATTCGCAAACTACTGCAACAAACCCTGCTGCTGGAACGCCAGGCAGCACACCAGCTGACACCACGCAATCTGTACTTGATTTTCTCGATCAAATCACTCAATCTACTCCTGCCTCTAACCCTTCTGAATCAAATCCTAAACAAGACAGTCAAAATAATTCTTCTGTAAAACAAAATGGTTCTGCTGAACAACAAACTAATCAACTTGAATCTCAAAAACAAAGTGGTGCATGGTCATGGGGTGGTTTGTTAGCGACTGCAACTACCGCCTACCAAACTGCATCAACTGTGGTTGATAATTCTGTTAAAGAGGCCTTAGAAACTGTGCGAACTAATGAAGCTACTAAAAAACTTGAGGAAAGAGTTCGTGGCATTGTAAATAAAGAAGCTATTGAAAAATTAGGTTTGTATTTGCATTCTGCTTTGGTGCGTTCTCGAATCATCATTTATTTTCTCGCGTATTTTTTAAAAGGTTCCGATCTCAAAACTCTTAGTCTTAATACTCTTACAACGGTGGTTAATGCTGTGGTCCCTCCAATTTCACAATATGAAGTTGTAGAAGTTTGGTTGTCTCATGATATGGTTGGTTATGTTGGTTTAGAATCTCTCGTATATAGAGCGTTTATGAAAGTCATGGAGCAAGTCGAAGGGGGGGATATTGTAGTCCGAAAAAGTGATGAAATAAAACGTGATCCTGATGTTGACTCATACAGAGATTTAAATGTTTGTGAAGGTTTTATTGAAGCTGTTGGCCTTGCCAAGGTATAAATTTCTTTTTATCATGCAACTGCTTATTTATTCATCGCTTTCTAATCATTTTAATCATTTTAATCATTTTAATCATTTTAATCATTTTAATCATTTTAATTGTTTTAATTGTTTTAATTGTTTTAATTGTTTTAATTGTTTTAATTGTTTTAATTGTTTTAATTGTTTTAATTGTCTTTATTTAGGCTAATATTGAACAAGTCATCAAGAAACACTACAAGCCACCACAAATTGATAATGAAAATTCTGAAACCACAGATCAATCTATATGTCCTGTTTTTATGGCTATTCAGCCTACTAAAGCAAATCCTTATTCTCTCCAAAACAAATCCGAAGATACTGCTGATCCTGATCAATACTTATTTTATGTTATTGTTTTGACTGATCCAACTCATAACCTCACTTTTAAAACCTTCTCACAAGCACTTCCTGTTAGTTGGTTAGATATTCCATATGAAGAGAACGAATGGGTGGAAGCTAAAATGGTATCTGTTATCAAATTGGCTGTTCAATCAATAGCTCAGGATTATGTTTGGCATCGAATGACTGCAAGTGATGGTCGACCTCAATCTAATGATGATAATTCAAACATTGCATCTTAATATATTAATTTTTAATAATATTTCGTTGTAAAAATTTTTTTTGGTCTGATTTATGATCTTTTCGCTATTAATTGTATGAATTTAATTTATCCAGGTATTTACGTTTTGTCAACTTATCGAAAGGTACTTTATTTTACTATGCTCAAATATATATCAACGTGGTTTGTTTTTTAACATTAATAAATATCAATGCATTTGATTATGAAATATAGTTGGATTATCAAAGGTATTATGTACAAATATCTGTTACTTTATAATAAAATTATATCATAACGTTCTATAGTTATGAGAAATGCCCAAATATAAAATCGAAAAATTAAAATCATGTTCATGCAGTAATACTGTAATCTTAAAGTTTGATCAAGTCTAAATGTGATGTAAACGTTTTAATAATGTCAAATTTATGTTTCATGTTGTTTTAATTGCGAAAAAAAAACTTATCGTATAAATTAGGCCACACAAATTTAATATCTTGGTTTTCATAACATGAAACTTTTAAACAGACCCGGCCGGCCGGCCGGCTTTTTTTTTTTAATTTTTCATATATAAAACTTTTTAAAAAATTTTTTAAAAAACCCACCCGGTTATTAAAACATATAAAAAATTTTTTTTTACAAGTTTTCAAATTTGACCCGGCCGGGTTATGAAAACCAATTAATTAATTTTGTATGGCCTTAGTTAAAAATTTTTCTAGAACACTACTGAAACCTAGATCTCTTAATCTACAGTAACTGCATAACTATTATAAAATTTATAGAAGCTATATAGTTACGGTCTGCTCTCGTTATAACGTAGTGGTCGGGCTAGAAAATTATCTATTATAAATCCGTTATAATGATATTCTTAAAAAATTTTAGAAAATTCTCCGTTATAACGAGGATCCATTATAAAAAATACATTATAAAAACTATTGTAGTACTTGTTGATTTACTGTTTCCCAATTCTTCACCCAAGTTCAAATCTTTGTTAAATTTTTGATTTACGTTTCAACAAAGAGGTTTCAGGTTTTGATAAGGAATAAAATATAATAAAAACAAGAAAGTGAAAACTATTATAATATTTATTGTCACGGATTATCGTGAAGTCGGATCATCGTGAAATTTGGGGTCTCAATTTGAAAATATAAGCCCTACCAAAATCCGACTATACTCTTTTATTAATAATCTAAATCTACTGTCAACTATCGATCTAACGAAAATCTGGCTGACCAAAAAATTCCATTATATAGCATATTTGTTATACCTATATAACCCATATAACGTAATTAATAACAGGATTCCGTTATAATGATAGTTGACAGTGTTACGACAAGGGAGAGACTTTATATCAACACAGCCAATTCAACTCTGGCCGTAAGCATTAAAAGTAGGAACCCAAGTGTTTATTATTACATACAAGACACTAAATGTACAAAGAAATATGAGCGATACAAGTAAGTATCTTCCTAAAAAAATCCCCTAGAATATCCCTCATTCCAACTAAAAACTAAATACGAAAAACTCTAGAACTACTACCTAAGCTGCTATCTCTATTTTATATACATATTATTAGACTTAAATTAGCTATATACTATTACGTAAATATAGTATAACAATATAAAAGTCTAATTAGAGTAACCCAGTAACTATACTAAACTATAAGGTTACAAAAGCTTATTTTCAAAATGTCACGTTATTTTTTGTAACAGTATAAAAAAAAAAGCTGACAAAAAGATTCCAAAAATTTTTAAAAATCATATATAAAATAGATCCAATTTCCAATTTCATGATAATCTATAACATTTATTATTTTTTTATCTTATTTTTTTAGTCAAATATAAATTCTTATTTTCAAATCCTCTAGGAATATTCTATAGAATAGGTGGGCAATATAAGAAATAAGCTTCGCTAATGACTAGTAATCATTAATTTTTAATAGCAGAGTTTCAGAGTTTTTGAAGTTTGCCCATCTATTCTATAGAACCTCCTAAAAGCTAAATATTAGTAATTATATAAGTATTTTAGATTCTTTTTTTTTTGAATATTAATGGTGAGTATTTTAGATTCTTTATCTAGATCTTTTAGAAAAATTTTTATACAATTGGCTGTTTAAATCAATTTAATTTTACATTTTTTAGATAGGTTAAAAAAATTAAATTATATATATATAATTTTATTAGAATTGTAGAACTCTACAATTAAAAATAATCAAAATCTTTGTTATTATATTAATTTTTTTCTAAACCAAAAAAAACTAATTACTTTTTAATAGTGAAGTTTTATAATTTTAATAAGATTATATTATTTTTTATTTATTATTGTAGTTTTATTTTTTTGGTTTAAACTAGTCCCTTTAACTTTTCATTTTTATTGAGTATATTTATTATTAGCACCTTCATATGTCTTAGATATAGAATATTTTAACAAAAATAAATATATATATACAACTTAAGTCATTATATATTTAAAAGTTCTACTATACTATTATAGTTATCTTCTATATATTATATTTAAAATCAATCTGTGTATCTTCTATTTAAATTTTTAATTAATATTTTTTAATTTTAATTTAGCTAGAATATATATTAGAGAATTATTTTTTATACTTCCCAGATTTATTATTTATACTTTTCTACAGATTTAACTTTTTTTAAACTTTGAGCAAAAATATCTTAGTGACTATGAAGTCAAATTCATTAACTCTTTTTTTTAATCCTATAGATTCTTAGGATTTAAACAAAAAAAAGTTTATCAAATTTGCTTAGTAGTTGCTGAAATATCATTACTCAAATTGAAAAAATCAAAACATTTATTAAACTATATAAAATTTTCTTTAAACTTTAAATGAAAATATCTCAGCAACTACTAGGTCAAATTTGATGAACTTTTATTTGTTTGAATGCCATGAATCTATATAATTCAAATAAAAAAAAAATGTTTATTGAATTTAGCTTATTAGTTGCTAAGATATTTTATTTTAAGTTTTAAAAAAGATTCAAAATGTCTATTAAAACAAAAGTTGTGCCAAAATTTTTTCTAAACTTGAGTGAAAATATCTCAGCAACCACCAAATTAAATTCAATAAACAAATAAAAATATTTCAGCAACTACTAAGCTAAATTTGAAATTTATTTTTATTTGAATTCTATAGATTTATAGCATTTAAACAAACTTAGTAGTTGCTGAAATATCTTCATTCAAAGTTTAAAGAAAATTTTGTATAGTTTTTTTTAATAGTTATTTTAATTTTTTTCTTCATACTTTGAGTGATGATATCTCAACAACTACTAGGCCAAATTTGAGGAACTTTTTTTGTTTGAATCCTAAGAATCTATAGAACTAAAAAAAAGAAGTTTAATGAATTTGGCTTGGTATTACTGAGAAATTCTTAATCAAATTTTAAAAGAAGTTTAATTTGCAGAAGGTATAAATAATAAATCTGGGGTATAAAAAATAATTCTCTATATATTATTTTATACTTTTTGAATTATTGTGAACTATTTATAAAATAATTATTTTTAATATATTCTTAAATATATTGTTTACTAAAATTTTTTAGTATCTACTATTATTATATAATTTAGTTTTATTTAATAATTTATATCTGATTTAAAAATTAGTACTTGTAGTCTTTTATTTTACTTTTACTATATAATTAGTCTTTATAGGGTTTATTTTAAACTCTGATATTTTTCTTAAATATATCTAATTTCTTATTTTTAATATTTTTTAGCTAGTTTTTTTAAACTACTAAACCAAATAGTATAAAAAAGCTATTAGTTCTCTAATATTTATTCTTTAAACTATTTGAAATTCAAAGCAAATTTCTCTTAAATTTTATTATAAACTACTTCTGATCTATTTTTAAAAAATTAATATATTTAAAGGTGTAGTGACTTAGTGAAGTTGGTAAGTTGTTACACCCCCAAGCGATTTGTTAGTCAGGTAGGGGGTTTGAAACCTACTGGCGACAAATTTTAAAAATTCTACTTGTATGATGGCTATTGATCAGTTAGAACAAAATCTCTGTAACCTCAGTGGCACCAACTTGATTAGGAGATTATAGGGCATTTGTGTTATATATAAGTTATACAAAGAAAGTTCAATAATCATATTAATTTAAGAAACTAAAAAGAGAGATGCCCACTTAGCAAGACTCGAGTAAAGAGGTAGTACAAAACTTTGATGGTACTATGTAAAGGACTATTATTGAAAGAACTAGTAAATACTAAATAGGATCAAAATGTATGGCAAAGCACTCCACCAACCAGGCTATTGGAGGTAGAGGAAAAGGATCTGCTTGACCACAGAATACCAGGGGACTGGTAAACCTGCAGGCAAAATTCCTCTCCAGGCCAACTAGATTAGGAGTTTGGGATGCCAAACAACAGGTGTTTGAGAAGACACTCTACCAACCTAGCTGCTGGAACCAGAGAAAAATGATCTGCTTGACCGCAGAATACTAGAGAACTGGTAAACCTGTGGGCAAAAGTCCTCTCTGGGCCATCTAGAATAGTAGTTTAGGAATGTCAGAGATATAGGTAATAGTCTGTAAAGTAGATACTGGAGTTTGAGTAAACTCTACAAGGGCAGAGTAGGTAACAGTAACAGCCTCAGCTTGCAAGTACTTGTTCTCAGACTCGACGTAAGTTACTGAAGTTTAGGTTAGCCGAATTGTGGATATGAAAAGCTCTAGCAACAATGCCTTGAAGATAAATTAGTCCTAAGGCTATAATAAGCATCTGGTACTTCTTAACTAACAAATATAGCAGAGATGTCCTAGTGATAACAAGTAAGGGTTTGGTTGCATTACAGAAAGTTTAAATAGATAATCCCTAGTTGGGTTATAGATATAGCAGCTAGTGTAGAATCTATGATGTAATACTGATATGCGGTCTACTTAAATAGGTGATCAAAAGGTGAACGTGTAGCTAGTTGTACTCTCTAATGTAATTTAGAGAGCCTCCTACCCAATATACTTGAATAAAAACCCTCATGTCAAAGAGACTAGTTAAAAAAAAA